TGTCCTTACCTTCAGATGATACATTGTGACTCCCAGCATCCTTCACCATTTGTTATGCTGGCTGGTAATGTTGTGACTTTATTCTAGTATTATTAGGGAAGGGGGCATGTACACACAATTTCCCTTTGATCTTGCAATGCAAAACTTCTCAACTTATTCATAAGGCAGTGAAGGATCAGGACTCAGTGGTCCATCCTTGCTTGTTCCAGGCAATCCATGGACATACAAAACCAGACTGGATTTTAACCTAAAAGTCTAAAACAGCATTTAAATCAGGCATGGGCAAACTAAGACCTGGGGAGCAGATGTGGCTATTTGGGTGCTTACTTTAGGCCCTTCTCATTTTCCTTGTCCTCTTGGCATAAGGACATGGTGGCCTGTTGTGTCCTTATGCCAGAAAGAAGAGGGAGGAAAGGACATAGCAGCTGACAGCCCTCTGGAGCACTCTCAGCCACATCATGTCTCCCCCCTATCTGTGCTTTGACCACAAAAAGAAATAAAATTATTATTATTAAGAAATAAAATTATTATTATTATTATTATTATTATTATTATTATTACATCCTAATTTTAAAATCCCACCATCACTGCTTGCTACTTATGTTTTCCTGCAGCAGGGAATATTTACTTTACAAGAACATGTGAAAGATAGAAGCCAGCAGGGTCTCCAATCAATGAAGTGGTGTTGGCAGTGTATTTTTCCTCCCTAAGAACATTGAGGTTGAAGTGAAAAATCTGTGATCTCTTGTAAGAGAAGATTTAAAAGGAGGAACTATTAGAAGTTTTTAAAAATAGTTTCTGCCCCATTGTGTGTCCCAGTCAGCAGTCCCACATAAGTAGGATTTATACAAGTGTTAATTTAGCATTCAGCAATTGATTTAATGGGTTTGCTGTAGTTGGGACTAGAATTTGAATTTTGGCAGATATGCCATGGTGGCACAACAGGTTAAACCGCTGAGCTGCAGAACTTGCTGAACGGAAGGTTAGCGGTTTGAATCCGCGAGATGGAGTAAGCTTCCATTGCTAGCCCCAGCTTCTGCCAACTTAGCAGTTCAAAAACATGCAAATGTGAGTAGATTAATAGGTACCACTCTGGCAGGAAGGTAATGGCACTCCATGCAGTCATGCCAGCTACATGACCTTTGAGATGTCTACGGACAATGCTGGTTCTTCAGCTTAGAAATGGAGATGAGCACCAACCCCCAGAGTTGGACTCGACTAGACTTAATGTCAAGGGGAAACCTTTACCTTTACTTTACAGATTTTTATTCTCAATTAGAATCACAAAACTATTACACAGATGAAATACATCAGAATGGTTTATCTAAAACACATTTTAGAATTATTTACCATTTATGTCATTTAAATCCCACCATTGCCCCAAAACTAAGATCTAATGCAGCTTCAACACATGATTGGGTACAAAGAAAAACAGAATAAATTAATCTAAAGAAGCAGTTTAATTCCTTATTTAAAACAGAACTATTGGAAAATACATCACCCATTTGTTAAACTAGCCATGCTTTGAACAGCCAGTTTGCTGCCCAAAGGCTGCCTGAATAAGAAGTGGTTTGCCTGCTCGCAGAAGGATAACAGAAAGGGGAATCAGTTATGACTCGCTTAGAAGGCAGTTCCACAGATGGGAAGCAGCAATTGCAAAGGTCCCCTCTCAAGGTCTCAGCAAACATGTCTTTGAAGGGACTCCCTGCAGATTTCAATCCTAGGCAGGTTTGCATGGGAAATACAGTCTTTTAGATAAACTAGCTCTATTCAGACCCAACAGTTTATTAGCTACATAAATATTTTTGTTTATCTCCAGGAATTTTTCAAATGGTCCTTCTTTTAAAAATACTTTTAAAATTATATTGGTTGCTAAGGTCTCCTTTAATTTCTACATTCATGAATGTAACATAACATTCAACATTTGTAATGCTTATATTGTGAAACTCTATAGGCAAAGCTCATCTTGGTTATATTATATGCATTTCCAAAGAGTCATTTATATTAACTTTAAATATTGTTTAGATGCAATCTTCGAAAACTGAAGTCTATAGCTTTTTAATGGATATGGGAAACGTTCTGTTTAAGAGTTCAGTCTTAAATAACCCAAATGCAAAGAAGGACAAGTGCTCACTGAAAAATGGAACAGAATAAAGAACTCTTATTTTCATAAGAATGATAATAGTTTGTTTCATAATGTTGAAGAAGCGCTATACCAGGAAATTCACTATCATTGTTAGAATGGATCCATCCTAAATTTCAGTAGGAAACAATCAAGGCCATCTTAAAACAATTGAAATCTCATATCTATTCATATTTATCTATCTGTTTAGATGTATATGATAGATTTTATGTGTAGTTTTATATTTATGCTTCTTGCTCTTTCTGTAGCTTTCTAAATAAAAATAATTTCATATGTTGCAAGTGAGATGTGGAAAAGGAAAATCTATTCATAAAGTGTAATATTTAGATGGAGCCCCCGATGGCACAGTGGGTTAAACCGCTGAGCTGCTGAACTTGCTGACCGAAAGGTCACCGGTCCAAATCTGGGGAGCAGGGTGAGCTTTGCTGTCAGCCCCAGCTTCTGCCAACCTAGCAGTTCAAAAACATGCAAATGTGAGTAGATCAATAGGTACTTCTCTGGCGAGAAGGTAATGGCGCTCCATGCAGTCATGCTGGCCTCATGACCTAGGAGGTGTCTATGGACAATGCCAGCTTTTTGGCTTAGAAATGGAGATGAGCACCACCCCCCAGACTGGACTTAATGCCAGGGAAAAAACTTTACCTTTTAAATATTTAGATAATGGATAGAATTACACTTCTTTTTAGCTTCAAGTTTCGGCAGTGGCCAAGAGTCAACTCACACAATTAATTCTTGTGTGCCAGTGTCACCCATCCCTAGAAAGATATGACCATTGTGATTAATTGCTTAATTATATCTCATTTGGATTATAGTAAAAGCCCCATATCTGCAGGGGATATGCTCCCGGCCATAGCCACCGATATGCCAAACAACATTAAATTATTTTATTTCTGTCCCAGCATGTCCTAGAATTGTGTTGGAAGACTTAGAGATTCCCAGAGAGGTATCTTCTCCAGGAATTCGCTAGGTCCTCCAACATAAGTTTATAAAACCTTTTGCAGAAGTATAATATAGAATCACTTGGACCTAGTAATTTTCTAGAGAGACCATTTGCCTCTTGGATGTTGGTAAATGAAACAACATGTGATTTCTATGGTTATGGAAGTCTTACTCTACTGTAATGTTCTCTATATGGAGCTGCTTTTGAAAATGTTCAGAAACCTCTGGTTCAAAGTTGTTTAGCCAGATTGTTAACAAGGTCTGGCTACATAAAGTATCAAAGTCCTTTGTTGAAACAGCTTTGCTAGTTGCCGTTCTGTTTCCAAGCACAACTCAAAAGCACTAGTTGTGCTCTGCAAAGCCCTATACAGTTCAGGTCCAGATATCTGAAATACTCTTATGTTTATATATGAGCTTGTTAGTGGAAATCCTTCTCTCTGTTCCACCATCCTCATAAGTACATCTTGTGGGAATCTGGGAAAGAGCTTTTTCAGTAATTACTTCCATGTTCCGAAACTACTTTTCTAGACTAGATGGACACTGTCCTTGCTATGATTTCATAGACAGATGATTTTTTATTATTATTATAGGAGTCCTTTGAGTGCTGATGGCTTGGGGCAAAAGAGCTGCTCCTGTCCTGTGTAGTTTACATATGTTGGTCTTCTTTCCAGTGGTAATGCTTTCAATTGCATTCAATTTTATTGATAGTTTAATTATATTTTTGAAAATGTTTTAATGATGTAAATGTCCTAAATTCCCTGAAGACACCAGATCTCATCTGATCTTGAAAATGAAACAACCTCAAATCTAGATAGTATTTGAATGGGAGACCAGCATTAAATACCAGCTGCTTTAGTTATATTTCAGAGGAAGACATAGGCAAAATGACACTGAGTATTCCTTGCCTGAGGAAACCTTATTAAAGTCATGGGTCATCAAAAATCAATAAGCAACTTGGAGACACACCACAGACACATCTACAAATGATGTAAATATTTTAACAGAATCTGTTTAACTTTTGTAAGATGGATTGAATCCAAGACTGGGTAAGGGTAATGATGATGCCAACTGCTACTGTAGATGATTAATCGCTGGGGTTTGTTTACATATAGACAGTTATTGTATATACTCATATATTAATATAGAAACCTTAGTTAAATATCTACCCAAAAGTCTGGGTAGACTTATCCATGGGTTAATGTAAGTTTTGTCTATTGTGGTCTTTTTGGTAGCCTGGATGGGAAGATAGTGACAAGGAGCAGTCAGAAGTAGCTATCATGAAAGATAGGTCTGATGCTTTCCTATCTCTGTGAAATGACTCCCAACTTATCCATAGGCTATAACAACATAATTTTGTCACCAACATCTGCCCTCGGCTTATTCATGAGGTTGACTTGAAGACAAGTATATAACATAGAGCAGTGGTTCTTAACCTGTGGGCCACAGCCCACTGGTGGGCCACGAAACCTAAAATATGGTCCTCAGCTCTAGATTATTAAATATGGTTTTCTTTGGGCAAGCAGATGGTGACTACAGAATGGAATATGTTCTGTATCAAAAACTAGAGCTGATGTTGTCTATCCAGTGCAATTTTCTGAATCAGCACCCCAAATAACCAAACCGAATCTAAAGTTGATCAAAATATGATTTGTAACCCTTTTGGTACTAATGATGGAGCGTGGTCCCTGGTCAAGTAGTACCTGGTCAAAAAAAGGTTGGGCACAACCGACATAGAGTGAACAGGTGTGAAAGCACATTTGCTATTATCCCCCCCCCCCAGTCCCTACTATTCTCTTTTTGAAAACTAAAGGCTGTGTAAATATTTTGGTCTTATAAATATCTCTTCAATGAAGCATATAAATGTTGGTTATGATGTGTTTGCTTTTGTCTGATATGTTGCATTTTTCTTTCTTTCTAGGAAATTCCACTTACTTGGATGACCACGGGCCACCCCCTCGTAAGGTGAGCTGACTTTTTATTTAAAGCTGAGCCAGATCATCTCCTAACAACTCTATCTTCCCCTGAAATATACATTCCCCATTAGCAAAGAGCTTCTTCCATATGTGTATGTAAATACTCTGCATCTTGGTTTTAATATAATTCATTTTTTAAAATTCTTTTTGTCATGTGGAGGCCCTTATCAGAGTCAGTAGTCATCATAGGAAGAAGGCAGAACAGGGAAGAAACAGATAAACAAATGTACTTGCAAATATAATCACAGTGGAAATCTGTCAAAAATTATCTGGTAGTCAAAATGTAGCTTTTATATGTGATTAAAGGTGTTGTGTAACTGCAGTTTTAAAGAATAATCTCATTTATATCTATGACCATTGACATCTCTGATTTATTGTTGAAAACATTTAGAACTTTGAAATTTTTTGGATGTAGATTAAGGTACATTTTGTTTAATGGAATACCTCTGCTTCTCTTTAAAATATCCATCTGAGGCTGCTTTTAAACAGCCACATAATCCAGATCAGAAGGTGGATTAAAGAAATCAATTTTCTCTCTGGAGAGTCTGTCCCCACACATCACCCAGAAACCATGAAAGTAAAGGAAAGTAAAGACCTGGATGTTTGAACAGGCTTTCGACTAAGCAGTGTGATTGATTAACTGATTATTGGAACACAAAATAATGGATAACGAGTTTTGGATTCTGATTTCACCGACTAGACCGGATGGATTTGTTATATTGATGTATTGTTGTTTGATGCTTATGTTAATGATGTTAATGACTTGTGATGCTTTTGTTTTTTAAATGCATAATGATTTTGTATCCTGTATATCTAAACTGTTGTAAACCGCTCTGAGTCGCCTAAGGGCTAAGAAGAGCGGTATACAAATAAAGTAAATAAATAAATAAATAAATGAATGAATGAAAAGCTCTTGCAGAATCCACAAAGCTCCCCTCATGTCAAATCAGTCTAATGGAATGGCTTTTTTTACTCCATTTGGAGAAATGTGCAGAATGAGAATCAGCAATAGAGCTCATCTTCCAACTCAAAAACAAGAAGTGGAAAGCAATTTCTTCCTGGAGAGGGAAGGAAAAGCTGTTCATTTACCTCCCTTAGAGCTCCACATCTGGTCCCTTCATCCAAATTTTCCCAGAGATGGCACTGCTTACTCGAGTGCTACACATGTTCCTGCAATTGATCATACACCCATCACCTGCAGTACATTTTTAGCTGATTTTTGATTTTCACCTTACTTTTTAAGCACATGTTTTCCATGTAGTTGCATGTTGGAGCACACATTAGGGGGGGTGCATTTTCTAGCCACCCCTCCCCTTTATAATCCACATCATTCTGGGCTTTACAGCATGCGCAGATGGGGCCTGAGTGGAAGTCATCTCCTTGCTGTTTTTGATTGTTTCAAACATATCCAGATATAGCAGATTGCCATACAGGATAATACAATATCCCAAATCTACAAAACAATATCTCTGTTGGACCAACCAAAATGCATAAAATACATGATGCAAACCTTTGAAGCTCCATTGGTTTCTTCGTCAGGCAAATGTGTTAATGATCTTAGAGAAGAAGTGCCACATGTGTGGCATCACTGGAATTATGAGTTGCATATTCTTGCTCTAAATCAGACTTGCACAGCCTGTGGCCCTCCAGGTGTTTGGGATCCCAATTTCCAGAAGCCCTAGCCAGCTTGTCCAATGGAGAGGAATTCTGGAAGCTGAAGTCCAAAACACTTGGAGGGCCGTAGTTTCTGTAGACCTGTTCTAAACAGTACTTGTGTTTTAACTGGCTCAATATGTTAATTTCTGCTTTAGTAAGGAAAATTTCCAGCGAGCTTAAAACAAGCTATTATAAAACCGCTGTTGAAGAAACCATCACTGGATCCCACTCAATTCGACAACTATCGGCCAGTTTCCAATCTTCCCCACTTGGGCAAAGTCATGGAACGTGTGGTGGCAACACAACTCCAGGGATTTCTGGTAGACACTGATTATCTGGATCCGGCACAGTCTGGCTTTAGGCCGGGACATGGAACTGAGACAGCCTTGGTCGCCTTGGTAGATGATCTTCGCAGGGAACTGGACAGGGGGAGTGTGTCCCTGTTAGTTCTGCTGGACCTCTCAGCGGCTTTCGATACCGTCGATCACGGTATCCTTCTGGGTCGCCTCATGGATATGGGGCTCGGGGGCACTGCTTTGCAGTGGCTCCGATCCTTCCTTGAGGGACGGACCCAGAAGGTGTTATTGGGTGACACCTGTTCGGCCCCACAACCGTTGTTGTGTGGAGTCCACAGGGTTCAATTTTGTCCCCGATGTTATTTAACATCTACATGAAGCCGTTGGGAGAGATCATTCGGAGTTTCGGAATGAGATGTTATCTCTACGCAGATGATGTCCAAATCTGTCACTCCTTTCCACCTGTCACCAAGGAGGCTGTCCAGACCTTGAACCGGTGTTTGGCTGCTGTATCGGACTGGATGAGAGCTAACAAATTGAAATTGAATCCAGACAAGACAGAGGTCCTACTGGTCAGTCGTAAGGCCGAACAGGGTATAGGGTTACAGCCTGTGTTAGACGGGGTTACACTCCCCCTGAAGACGCAGGTTCGCAGCTTGGGAGTGATCCTGGACTCATCGCTGAGCCTGGAACCCCAGGTCTCAGCGGTGGCCGGGAGAGCTTTCGCACAATTAAAACTTGTGCGCCAGCTGCGCCCGTACCTTGGGAAGTCTGATCTGGCCACGGTGGTCCACGCTCTTGTCACATCCCGGCTGGATTACTGCAACGCACTCTACGTGGGGTTGCCTTTGAAGACTGCTCGGAAACTACAACTAGTCCAGCGAGAAGCAGCCAGATTGCTCACCGGAGCGACGTACAGGGAGCATACAACCCCCCTGTTGCGTCAGCTCCACTGGCTGCCGATCCAATTCTGAGCACAATTCAAAGTGCTGGTTTTGACCTACAAAACCCTATACGGTTCCGGCCCAGTGTATTTGTCTGAACGGATCTCCCTCTACGTCCCACCTCGAAGCTTAAGATCTTCTGGGGAGGCCCTGCTCTCGACCCCGCCACTGTCACAAGTGAGGCTGGCGGGGACGAGGAGCAGGGCCTTCTCAGTGGTGGCCCCCCACCTGTGGAACTCACTCCCCGGGGAGATTAGATCGTCATCTTCCCTTTTGGCGTTTAGGAAAAAACTGAAGACCTGGATCTGGGATCAAGCCTTTGGTCATTCTGACAGCTAACTGAAGGATCTGATGATAGACAAGGACAAATGGAATGGAATGGATATATGGACTCTGAACCCTGAGCATGAGACTGTTTTTATTATTTTATTATGTACTGATGTTTTTAATTAATTGTTGAATTGTTTGTATTTGTATTGCTTGTGAATTGTTTTGGGCATCTAATTGTGCCCCCACTGTAAGCCGCCCTGAGTCCCCCCCGGGGTGAGAAGGGCGGGGTATAAGTAAATGAAATAAATAAATAAATAAATAAAAATAAATAAAGGATCAAAAGTTTAGAATAATAAACAAGCCATGTTGAGATAGAACAAAGGGATATAATTAAAAACATGGAGAGACATTGTTTAAAATGGAGTACAAAACCAATACAATTAAGACTATCAATTATATGGATTAAATATAAATTAAAACCACACAGCCAAGATTTTGATATCTCTTCTGCTCCAGGGAATATGATCCCCATATAGCACCTGGCAAGTTTAACCCTCAAAGATACTCATGTGCATACAGATTAATAGACATCTTAGAGCATAGGCAGACACAGTAGGCAAAATACATGCAATTTAATACAAAGACTAATTCATTTTTTAAAAAATGAGGTTTTTGTCATGTGGAGGCCATGAGACCAATAGCCATGTTTTCATTTATCAATGTAAACTAAAAGTTCCCTTTAGGCATTTTATCTGTACTCCTATGTAGTTCTGTAGTATGCCCTTATCAGAAGTTGCACTGAAGGATCTAGAAATGCTAGAAAGCTGTTCTTTCTCAGCATTTTCTAGACCAGAGGTCCTCAAACTTTTTAAACAGAGGGCCAGGTCGCAGTCCCTCAAACTCTTGGAGGGCCGGATTATAATTTTTTAAAAATGAATTAATTTCCATGCACACTGCACATAAATTATTTGTAGTGCAAAAAAAAACACTTAAAAACAATAGAAGAATTAAAATGAAGAACAATTTTAACAAATATAAACTTATTAGTATTTCAATGGAAAGTGTGAGTCTGCTTTTGGCTGATGAGATAGGGTTGTTGTTGTTGTTGTTGTTGTTGTGGGCTTTCAATTGGTTCTGACTTAGGTTGACCCTGAGCGAGGGCCAGGTAAACGACCTTGGAGGGCCGAATTCGGCCCCCGGGCCTTAGTTTGAGGACCCCTGTTCTAGACCCTCCAGCGCAAGTCTGTGGTATGCTTTGACATAAATGGCTGGTTTCAATAGAGTTTGCTATTATCTATGATCTTGTATTTCTATGATACATCCAGGAATGCTTCCCACTCACAGATATGGAGGTTGAAGTTCTTTAACATATCAATTACAGACAGTCCAGTGTATGAAAACCTTACTTTTTTCCTAAGAATTATATCCACTATAATTATATGGCAGTGCAGACTCATATTAATATGAGGGGGTGTTAGGGGTACTTTGAATGTGATTTTCCTGCTTCTTTGCACGGGGTTGGACTGGATGGCCCACGAGGTCTTTTCCAACTCTATGGTTCTGTGATTCTAATAACAGTAATGACGATGTATGTATGTTTAAACATATGCTTGTATACTTGCATTTTAACTTTGTTTTAATATGTGATTTTAGAGATGTATTTCACAATGTTGTGCCCTGCCTTGAGCCAAAAGGAGAAGTGGGTAATAAATAAGAAATTATAATAATAATTATTAGAATAGTCTTGATGCTTAAACAAACAAAACATCCCAACATAAAACACCAGAGATGTTTTCATCAAATGCTTCTGTTGTCTACTATGA